TAATATTTAATCTTTTGGCTTATTTATCTGAACATACATACACACACTACAAAGTTTTTATGTAACTACATATATAACACAAATTTTCATTGATACGTCACCAACAAATTTTCATCAACCAACACGAATCTCAGTGCAATTTTTTGAACAAGAAACATGCAAACTTCGATTAAGAGTCATCCAGAGCTCCGATTTCAACAAACTTATAGTCAAACTGATAGAATCGATGAGACAGACATAATGATGTGAAAGTCAATCTAATCCAATTCAAATAAAGCCCGGATCAAATCATCAAACCACTCTTGGAGGATTTCTAGGGGCGTTTTAAAGGTCAAACGAATATCGAATTCAGCGAGTTTATAGTCGAATCGAGCGTCTCGAAAAGACGAATCCAACAAGACCAAGATTGCTCAATTCCGACATCATGAAGGCACTCAAATGTCCATAAAACATCTTCCAATCGAAGGAAGTCATCCGGACCGTCTGATCAAAATGGTTCATATTCTTGTTTTAATTGCACCCAAAACACTATAAATAGAGCCACACCCCTCACATGAGGGGGAGGAGGCTTAAGAGAGAACTTGAGGTTTTGAGAAGGAGCTCAAGTCCAAGATCATCCTCGCCATCGTCGATCGCCGTCGACCACGACCACCGACCTCTGCCGACCCCCCCGCCGACCACCGTTGAACGCCGCCGAACACCGCTGACCTCTTTCAACTACCGCCGACCGTCATCGACTGTTGTTAGCCACCGCTGACCTCCGTCAACCACCGCTTACTAGACGTCATCAGTCGACGTTGTAACGTGGAAAGCTAGTAACCCTTTCCCGCATGTGGGACAAGGGGCATTTGTAATCATCAACTTATAGTGGATTTTTACAACTGGGTCAGACCCCGTGATTTTTCCCTTTTTACGGGTTTTCCACGTAAAAACTTCTGGTGTGATCACAACTCGATTCATTCTTATCTGAGCGTGTGTTGAATTCTCGTGCAACGCTAAGACGATAATCCATTACTCTACCGTCACGAATTTTCTAGCCCGCATCATTGTTGAATGCTTTAGGTTGACATAGGGTCCCGTATCACTCGTGATTACACAAAACTCGATAAAGACCTTGCTTTTGTGGAAGAGGAAAGAAGATCTCAGGAATTGTGCTTTGAACTTGAATCTCCGGCAAGTTGGAAAATAATGGCTCAGGGGAGGAGTTTCCCAGATTATAGCGTATGAGAGAGAGAGAGAGAGAGAGAGAGAGAGAGAGAGTGTGTGTGGGAGAGGGAGACTACAAGAAAAGGCAAGACTACGGATGTCCCTTCTCTCATTTTGACTTCACTTTTATACAAAAAGGGGAAAATAATAACAAATTCATTTATATAATATAATACCCATTAATGGTGTCTTAATGAAAAGATCGTGACGCGGATATCAAACAATGTTTTCAAACAATGATGTACTTGGCATGGACTTGAGTCCTTGCTAGTAATGATCTGGGATCTATAGTAGTTGTCCCTCCTTTGGTGGGCAAAGTTGCCTCCACGAAAGAGATGAAATTTAGCTACTTCGGCAGTGGAGCTCGGTTCAACGAGTTCGACGAATGGGTTTGGTTCAACTACTTCGACAGGTGGTCTCATATTAGCGTATTAGTTTCTGTTGTTAGAATACACATAGAATACCTGTTTTTAGGTATATAGTTGTATAGGTGTGTGTTTATATTTATATTTAAAGCACTTAAATATTCTATTTTACATTAAAAAAATCACTATTATTAATTGTTTATGGTACTCTGTTAAACTAGATTCTCGTTGATCTTGGTGCCTCTACAAACATAATTAGCCTTTGTACACACGAATTGCTTCCTTAAACTCAAAGAGGCTATGTTCCAATAAAACCATGTTGAATGCCTTTAATGAGAAGGGCCAAGGGACCTTGGGGTCTACAACCCTTCCTCTCCACTTTGGAGAATTTAAAAACGAAGCTAAATTCCTGGCTATAGATGAGAACATGTCTTTTAGAGCTTGATCGGACGTCTCTGGATGTATGAATATGAAATTGTACCTTTGATCCTTCACCAATGTATCAAATACACTCGCAAAAGAAAAAAGTTCTCCATTTCGGGTGATATCCAACCTTTCTCTATGAATGAGGTCGCCCCCTCTCCTCTTCATTAATTCACTCCGGAAAATTGGTAAAGAGATAACGACAGGGGAAAGGCTTCATGCCCCCATAATTATTGAATGAGATCTGATTATATCTACATTGTCATCTGCTAAAATCATAATAATATTTAATTCAAATACTGATTTAGATTTGAATGAGATCATACAGGTGAATAACACCCAAAAGGAAGACACTCAAGATCAAGAAGATGCATTCTCTACAGTTACAACACTTTGTCTATCGAAAATTTTTTTTGATAGATTAAGTTTTGACTATTGATCCCATATCTTGAGGACATCATAAAATTTGATGGCCACTCATGTATCAAAAGGTAAAGAATTAAAGATCTTTTACGTACCTCTAAGATATAAATATGAAGAGAAAGATATTCTCTTTTATAAGGTTGATACACGTGTACACAATCCTGATGTAAAGTTGTTGATCGATGATAATGAAATAATAGAAGAGCTTTTTTCCTATCTGGTCACCGTATGTGCGGATAACAAACGAGATGCAGCGGTGACCGGACCTTCCATTTGTAAATATAGATAACATGTTTAGATATATTCTTGAATTTTTTTTAATAAAAAAAATTATTATTTTCTAAGATAAAAAATTAATGAGCGGAAACTTTTTTAACTCTATCTTTTATCTGACGATTCACATCAATAATTTTTTTATGGTCGCACACTTGTTAAAGTAGGATGTACCAAATTTTAATACAACACAAGTTACTATTAATTAACATATAGACATTGCTTATAATACTTGAAGAAAAAATTCAATATATTTTTTCTGTAAAATTTCTTGCGTAACTCTCGGTTAGTGATTCGTTCACTATGCATTGTTGCCATAAATAATTTATTGAATCGTCAATGAATAGCCTTTTCGACGTACTTGATGTTCTTATAAATATTTTAATGATGTAAATCTTTTTATAGATTTTTTTTTTATTGAGAAATTTACATACATTTAATACAATTCATTCTTATATATTTACAAATTTAACAGCAAAGTTTGGTATTTACATTTAGAATACCTTGCTATCATAAACCTATGCAGGAAAAGGTGCATTTCACTTTTAAGAAGTTAGCAATGGTGATAACTTTGATGCAATGCTAAAAATTAGATTGTTGTTCATGTAAATATGAATGTTTACGTGTTAGATATGTAAATACATAAGACTTGTGTGATATGTATGTAAATGCATTTACCTTAAGGTAATATGCATGTAAATGCATTAATGTAAGTTTGATTGTTCGTACTTTCTTTATTCGAATATTCGTGCAGCATCTTTAGAAAACATTCGCACATTTCTTTATTAAAAGTCACTATGTTATTAAAGTAAGAAAAAACTACTTAGTTTTGCCCAAAGATATTGCACGAACATAGATAAAAATGAAAAAAATATAAGGGAATATAATTCTTGTGCGAAAAACTTATTAAGGAATATAATTCTTTCATCGAACCAATAATAATTAGATGATGATGATCGTACAATGTTAATCAGATGAGGGTGTTCGAACGTTAATAGTTAGATGATGACGAACTAAGTGTCATTCATGATGGTTGTCAATGATTATCTCTATGCTCTCGCTCGTTTGAAGCCTTCTTGACTTCATATGGAGAATATGACTTTGATTATGATGTTATGAATATCATTTAATTTGATAAATTTAAATAAAATTTAAAAATAAAATTTAAATTGATATTTGACTAATCTTGTAATATTTAAGTGACTATAATTTTAGAACTATATCAAAATGTTATGAAAATTTTTCAGGAAATAACTCTAATGGATAGAAACTAGTATGGTCTTTTAATTACTTTAATATTTAAATCTAACACTAAATAGGTTTCTAAACCTATAATTAAGTAGTTGACCAGTCTTTTTTCATTCTCTTAACCTCATTGAAAATATACCTTACCCTCATTTTCCTTATAAGTGAACACATTAGCCTGTGATTTAAAAAATATATTATTTTAGAATTACTTTTAATAAAAATTATATCAAATATCATGGTAATTATTAATATAATAGCTTTAGCGGTGTAGTTTTTTAATAACTTAATATTTAATTCTTCACCTCAAATTTAAACACATACAAATTAAGAAATTGATTTACGTGCATACCACTCACTTTCTATGAATTTATATACAAAAATTTTATATTTAACATTAATATCATCATAGTATTTCATATCACATAAAAAATACCACTACTAAAAAAATATTATTTTAACTTCTATTAAAATAAAAAAATAACTTTCGTGTATTGATAAAATTAAGTGCATGTAAAAATTCAAGTGAACGATTAACTATTGGGCGTCACGTTATCATATATATTTGTGCGGGATGATGTGAGTCCTGCAATTAGGAAAAATTATTGCATACGGACAGACACCACATGCATATTTGCATGCGGTATCGGATCCTGACCATACATCAGTTGATTTACGACCATGATGTATTTCGGTGGGCCCCACCTAAATTTTTTTTTTTTAAAAAAATTGTAATATATCCTGAAAGGATTGGACATTGCATGCAGAGATGCATGCGATGTCCGTATGCAATAATTTCTCGACAATTAGCCGTCCGAACATGCTCCACATCTTTTCATATAATATTTTTTCAAGCATGTGATATGCATGAAAATATTTCAAATTAAAGATAACCAACATCCTTTTCTCACGGCGTGGTCCCACTTGCCGTACACACGTGGCATTACTCAATCCATATACTCCGCCACCCAGCAACGACCCTTCCCCGCGAAGGTTCGCCACATACGGTCTTTTTCAGACACGTGCCCCCTCACAAGACCGTCATTCTTTATTTAGTTGCTTCAAAGAACACGATGCACGACTCACGATCTTATACATTTTTGTTCGAACAGCCGTTCGCGATCGTATTCGAGATTTTGTTCTTGAAAATCCTCCTTCTCATAAAAAAATCTAACCCCGGTTTGAGGAAGATTGGATTAATCGGTTCTTAATTCAGCTCTATTGTTTGATTTGATTGATGATTTACATCGGGACCAGCGTTCCCGTGACGAAGATCCCGCGGTTGCACCTTCACGAGACGACGAAGAGGAATCTAGGGTATTCCGGTGATACAGTTTCGATGCCATCTGCGATTATAGATGCGAGCGGCGTGGGAACGGCGAGGCCGCTGATGCTGACTTCAGGAGCGAGCGGGCGGGTTAGGGCTTTGTTTTCGCTCCGTGCCCTAAGGAGCCTTCAGCTACTTCTCAATGGGATACTGTTGCTGTTGCTGCTGCCGTTCCGATGGCGGACGATGGAGAAAAAACAAGAGGCGGCGGTGTTGGTGGGAAGAAGATGCGGGGAGGAGAAGAAGAAGGGGGTTGTAGTTAGGATTCCGGCGGCGATGGTACCGCGGCGGCCGAGGGAGCTAGAGGGAGCGGCGAGAAGAGCTATGGCGATTAGGAGGATCGGATTGAGAGAGGAAGGAGAAGAAGGGAGGAGCGTTAGGGATTTCGCCTTTTTTACCACGGAGAGAGGCGATACGCTCTTCACGCAGTCATGGACGTCGGTTTCCATTCGAACCAGGTGAGTTCTGTTCCTTTTGTTTTTGTTGAAATATGAACAAAGTGCGAAGCAGACAATGTTTTTGTGTTTGAATTTTACAGAAACCGGCATGCCGTTTTCTGCCGGCCATAGACGCAAACTTACCTTTTTGATCCGCCTTTAAACGAAAAAAAATAAAAACAGAGTTTTTACCTACATGACACTTGACTTTATAAATAAGAAACTAACCACCCAAACATCAAATATTTTAAATTAACACCCCGCGAAGGAGATGGGAGAACGACTGAACCCTAGCGCGGGAAGGAGGGCGAACGATTCTAACGGGAGGGAGACGGAGAAGTGGTTTCGGTGGCTGAAATGAAGTGGGTTAAGTTTAGGGTGGTTGATTTTAAATATTTGATGTTTAGGTGGTTAGCTTCTTATTTATAAAGTTGTTAGTAGCAATGGTGGTGCTAAATAGTAAAAAAAATATGGGTTTAGTAGAAATCAGCTCCAAAAATATATTATTTTTTAAATAATATCTATTTTTTTAGTTTCCTTGAACTCATAATTGTGGAGGTGTATTTGATACTGGCCATAGAATCTTTTGTCTTGTCTCGACCAGACCTTTGGCTCATGATTTCGAGCGGAATTAATTAAATATTGATCGATCAAGTGCATTCGAGGGGGAAAAAATTATGCAAAATTTAGTGTAAAAATTTATTTAGTTCACAAAAAAGTTATGCTTTGTCATGAGTTCTGGTATAGCCATTCTCAAATGAAATATGCCTTTGTAAGCAGAGATTCTGGCAATTTATGTAATTTTAAAATAGAACATGTAATATTGTGGATTGTTTGTGAATGTAGTGAAATAAAGCTATGTGATTTTCAAATCCATAGTTTCAAATATCCCTATTCTTCTTGTACTATTGTAACATAATATACCGCTCATTACAAAAAAAAAAAATCAGCTTTATAGACCTGCGAGGTGCGCAATTCCTGTCTAATCTTGAACTCATTTCAGTCTATAATCAAGCCTTATTTGTCTTGAAGTTTCGTAAAGATTCAATTTTTTAGCATTCGGCATTCTCTCCAAATATTGATGTTATTTCGTATTCTATAGGGGATTGATGGTTCTTTTGCATGGCCTGAATGAGCACAGGTACGCTCCTTTGCTAACATTTTCATTCCTATAGGTAGATTTCTGTTAATTTGTGAAGTAAAATATATTTCTACCATTTGTTATCTTTTAGTGGAAGATATGATCACTTTGCAAAGCAGCTGAACGAAAGCGGATTAAAAGTTTATGCCATGGATTGGGTTGGTATGTTTTTTCAATGCAGTAATGAGTTTCTGTCTATTATATATCTATTTATTTTTTTTTCTTTTGTTGATGTTTTTTTCCCTCCAGGGACGTGTGGTGGTTAACAGTATATGAATGAAGCAATATTATTAGTGGCTAACATTTTTTGGCTAATTCATAATTTAAGTTGATATTGATAATCAATTAGTGTAAATGGTTTCATCCAGATTAAAAAAAGTATTTTTGATGCTTTCATCAGTCTAGGATTTTTAGAATTAAGCATGTCTCGGTAGGGAATGTCTTCTCTGCTGACTTTAAACGCTTCAGAACGATCCTTTCAAGTTTCTTAGATTTATGAATAGCAACTCTGCTCCTATAAGCCTGCATGGATCTGCATTGATGGGATTATGACTTTGTACCTTTTACAAAAGTAAAGGCAACTACAAAAGGAACTTTTTTTTTTTTGTGTGGTGTGTGCATAATATAGCATTATTAGAAGCTGGTCTCATTTCAACGTATTTTAAATATTTTTCTTTTTTGGTCTATAGTTAATTTAAGAAGTAAATCCAGTCTTTTTTTTTTTTAACTTTTATTATGTTTGTAACCTTTGGTTTCTCATGTTATTTGCAATCTGTTAACATGTTTTGTTGCGCTATTTCATGCTTGTTATATGTGCTTCTGTATAATTCTTAAACGTGAGAGAAAGGAATGTGGATTTACAATTGTTGGAAATAGAAAACTAAATTATTAAACGAAGGGTGTGTCAAAAAGCCAATGCATGCTTGTTCTTTACCAATCAGGGATGGAAGATCTAATGAGAGAAAAATATTCTTTTACCTAAAATAATTGTGAATATTCCTTCTTATTCATGAAGATGATAGTGAATTTTATTTTCTTTGACTAATATTTCATGTTATAAACCAAAGAATTTTTAGTATTTTTTTTTCTTTTTTAAACTTTCCTTGAATGAACTTGTTATCTTCAGTATTAAATATAGCTAGGTGTAAAGAATATTATTTTGAAATAAAATGAAAACATTGATCAAACTATTGAGTGTCTTAGCTACAAACTTTAGGAACATTTTATAGTGCAATGGTATGCGCTAGAAGAGATGCCCCACAGTGTAAGTTGGTTATGATAAAAATTGCTATCAATTCGCTTGAACATCACCCCTAAAGGGAGTACAACTTAGTCCTAATGTGATGAAAGGTAGTTGAGACTTGTCTTGGATAAGCTTTTAACTTTTGGTGAAAATTAAGTTATGATTTTATTTTATTTTATTCAGACTGACAATTAGTTCTATAAAATCATGGTTAGTTTTGTAATTTTTCAAGTAAAAATTTATGGGCTATAAGTGGTAAAGTTAGAGAATTAACATATAATAATTACATGAAAGATCATAATTATATGTCAGTAAGATGGGAATGTGGACAAATCTATAGACATATGGGTAGTTTATAGATTATTATTTTTAAGAAGGCTAACAATAGGAATGAAAAGGAAGTAGTAGTTGAGAAAGAACTGAAGGTTAGGTTGTTTAGGTAAATGGATTTATTGAGGGGTAAGGATGTTTGCTGACCTCATTTTGAGTTCCAAAAAGTCAATGTTGGAGCATGATCATGTCATCTTGGTCGACATGATTAGTAGCCTTGAAAGATGGTCCGTGTTGATGCGCAGTGGAATGGTTATGATGGACCAACAAAACATCAACTATGGCACAGCACCTTTGTTTACTCGCAACTCTCATTGGAACGGTTATGGATAAATAAAAAAATCACAGATGCCACTGCATCTTAGCTTAATTGGGTATCTATAAATTTTTGTTAAAGGAGATGCAAAATTGAGTTATATAAAATTTATAATTTTTGTTTTAACTCTACAAACTCTAAATTTATTGGACGGCTTTACTAAAAATTTAAACAATAAAGTTTTTTACATAGCACTCTGGCATTCTAAATTAACTTATGCATGAAAAAATTATATTTCAATTTTAGAAGTTAGTAATAATATATTTTTTATGTCTATTTAAAGATTTGAGTGGTATGCATGTAAATGTCAAACTTTAGGTGTTAGCCATGTAAATATCTAAGAATTGTGTGAAATGTATTTAAATGCTCTATATAATTACTTATAAAAGATCTAGGAGTTATTAGACTAATATGTGTGAATAATGATTATTTTTTAGGTATGGATGATGCCTATTGAGGATAACTTTAAGTTGTCTGGTCACAACAACTTAATATGAATAACTTGATGAGGATTAATAAAGCTGAACCTTTGTAGCAAAAAGCTAATGAAGGCAATGATGAGGTACAGATTTTGAAAATAATAGTGGAAAGCTTTGTGTAGTATAATTTAACCTTGAACAGAAGTAATAGTGGATGCTATTGTGAATATTATCTGCAAATGTGTGGCCAATATATTGTTCATCTGTTAACGACTTTTGTTTATAGGATAACATCAATGCATTTCCTTAAGCTTTTGTGTTGTCATAACTGTTAAGATTTGCTCTTTCATGACTAATCAATTTCTTCAAGTTTTGCCAGTACTTGAAAAATGGTGACAAGAATCATCACTGGTAAAGATGGGGGATGAGGAATATTTGCCCTGTTACGATCTTACGTATGTAGCTTATCACTGTTTGTTTCGTTCGTTTTCTAATAAGAAATTGGAATATCTACATACTTACCCCTCAATTCCTATGTATTTACATATCTAACTCCTAAATTTCAATTTTTACATATATATGCCAACATGAAAAAGTATTTTTCACTTTTAAAAAAATCAAAATAATACTATTTTTTTATGTGGCATGAAAGATTTCAGTGGGATAAATATAATAAATAAAATTTAGGTCTTAGATATGTATATATTCAAAGGAATTTGATGGTATGTATGTAAATTTTCCTAATAAATAATGCAACTTTTGTCTAATTTATTTGCTAAAATGTATTTTTTTTCTGACTAAATAGTGTTTTATTTTTTATTTTTAAAAATTTTTTAAACTAAATAGTAGTGTTTACCTGTCATTTACATAACATGAAACCTTTAGTGGTCGATTTACGTTCATAATTTTCAGGATCATTCAAATCAGTTTATGTGGGTTATGAAAGAGCATAAACATTTTATGACTTGGCTCAATCTTGGTCCATACCTTGATTTATGGCAAGTCAGGTTACATGAGGAACATCTTTATATGTAATTTAACCTTTAGCATGATTTAAGTAGATATTTTCTTTTCTTTTTTAATATTCTCACAATTAGGAGATAAATCAATCCCTTTAAGTATGATAGTTTGTTTTTTAACTTAAGAGTGTTACTAGGGTATAAATGTAACTGAAGAACTATTATTTTTCCAAACAACTGATATACACACCTCTTTCAGAGAAGATAATTTTTATTTGTCAGAATTCCACTCCACCGAAGTTGGATTTTTTTCCTTTAATTTGGTATATTGGCGGCTGAGTTAGCCATTATAGTTGCCTTGAAAGTTCTATAGAATAATCCTCTTTTATTTCCTTAAATGCATAGCAGAAACTTGACTAATAATTGTATATCCAGTTTAGTAATTCTGTCAAGCAATCACTGTGTATTTAGTTGTTTCCAAAAGCAGCATTGTTGCGTATAATTTAGTTGTATAAATTAGGTTGAAAGGTTCTCAACTAAAGTACACACAAAATTCAAGTATCTTCACTCTTTTCGTAGTATCAAGTCCTAGGGAAGAAATTCCTGTGCATCCTCCTTTAATTCTGCTCCATAGATGCATTTAGAAAAACTTGTTTAATACATCTATTTGGTCCTAGCAATTTTGTCAAGCAACTGCTGTATAATTAATTGTTTTCAAAGGTGAAAAATGCATAATGTAGCATAGAATTTGGCTATATAAATAGGATTGGAAGTAGGGCTATAATCGAACAGAGTGTATCATGTTTTGAACCTGGCTTTGCCATATTATAAGGTGTTCAGCTGGCTTGTGCTTGGTTTACCTAAATTAATTGAACAAGTATTTTCATGAGTTAATAAATAACTAAAAATTCGAACGAGTACCTGGCTTGTCAAACTCTGTTCTTAATAAATGATTATGCAAATCTATGCAAATAAAAAATTGAATAAATTTTGAATTAGTATCTAACTACTTTACTCAAATTATTTAAAAGAATATAAAAGTTGCAAGCAAGCTTTCTTATATTCAAATAATATGAATAAATACTAACAATCTAGTTTATTAAAAAAAACTAACACATTAAATTAATATCATAGTCCCTAATAATAAATAAATTATTTTGAAAAAAAAATAAAAAGCTAACAAAGTTATAGTTAATTAAAATTTATTGAAATAATGTATTATTTATGTTATGAGCTATTATAAAACTTGCTATTGAGTATTTAACAAGTTGGTTTTTGAACAACAAATGATAGCAGTGTTTGTGCATAAATGAACAAGTTTGCCCGCCTTTAAGCTCGATTCATTTAACTCTCGAGTTTTAAATAATTGTTCAAATTTGTTTATTTGCTAATTTGAAGAAACTTGATTGAGTATTAACAGATCGTCTTTTAGCTTGGTTCATAAAATTGTCCAAGATAGTTGTTGGTTGGTTAAAATTTCCATGCTGCATAAAAGACAAATCGTTGATTTATGCAAGCAAAATTTGCTGAAATCTTTGATTTTTTACTTTTATCTACAGCTTTAATCACTCCTTTAAATTTCCTGCCATATGTAAGTGTTCTTATTGAGCTTATATTTTTTATTCAACGTCTTTTATCCACAGGGCATGGTGGAAGTGATGGGCTGCATGGCTATGTCCACTCTCTTGATTATGCTGTCAATGACTTGGTAATAATTTCATTCTCTTTTTTGAAGCCTTTTTAAAATATGTACCCATATGAACTTTTCTCATATATATATATTGTGCAATTGCAGAAAGCCTACTTGGACAAGGTTTTAACAGAAAATCCTGGGCTTCCATGTTTTTGCTTTGGACACTCTACAGGCGGTGCTCTTGTCCTTAAGGTTCGTGATTTCTGCATTGCATGCTTGTCTACCGTTTCGCTGCTTCTATAGAAAGAGAAGTAATTGGTATTAAAGACTAAGTTCTAATTTTGTTTTTGTTCTTTGTAATTTTAAGGCAATACTAGACCCAAAGGTTGAATCCCGTGTCAAGGGTATGGTGCTGACATCTCCAGCCATTCGTGTTCAGCCGTCCCATCGCATTGTTGCCGTAAGCACTTCTATTTGCCTTCCTTTATACTTTCTTCTACAATACTTTAAAGAAGGGCGTTCAAAATTCTTACAAATTCACATACTTAACGCCTAAACATTCGTATTTACATGTATACCACTCAAATTTATAACAACACATCAACAACGCCACCACCACTATTTTTTCAGATGTGAAATACACCTTCTCATAGATAGGGTTGTGTTATATGTCTAAATATTAAATTTTGGATGCTAGATATGTAAATACATAAGATTGTGTTGTATATATATGTAAATTTTCCTTTTAAAATAGGAAGATTTACATATGTACTATTAATTCCTATGTATTTACATCTAGCTCCTAAACTTCAATTTTTTATATACATGCCATTTTACCTATGCATCTAATGGTGTATTTCACTTTTTAAAAGTTAAAATGGTGGTATTTTTTATATAATATGAAAGATTTGGGTGATAGAAATGTATAAAGCATAGTTTAGCTGTTAGATATGTAAATATATAGGAATTGGGTGGCATGTAAATGCCCCATTAAAAGCAAACTTACATAAATACCACACAATTCTCATGCATTTACATATTTAACACAAAAAAATTAATATTTACATTTATAACTCCTTGATATTAACAACCTATGCATGAAAAGACGTAATTCACTTTTAAAGAGCTAACATAGTGGTATTTTTCATGCGATGTCAAATATTTTAAGTGTTTTGTATGTAAATATGAAAGTTTAGGTGTTAGATATGCAAACATAGAAGAATTGCGTTGTATGTATGTCAATGTCCCACTAAATACATTCATGAGTTGAGGAACTTCAACAAGAAAATGCAGTAATGCCCTGCTCATAAATAAAACTCACGAGAACATTGAATCATATCCATGGTTTATTCTAATATTGCAAAAACGAAACCTTGTAAATTTTTATTTCTTCTTCATTGTCAGGCTGTTGCGCCAATCTTCTCGCTCTTAATCCCAAGATACCAATTCGGCGCCGCATATAAGAAGGGACCGCCAGTTTCCCGTGATCCTGAAGCCTTGAAGGCTAAGTACTCCGATCCCCTCGTGTTCACCGGCTCCATTAGAGTCAGAACTGGATACGAAATCCTTCGTATTTCCCATTCCTTACAGCAGAACTTAAACAGAGTAACTGTTCCTTTTCTGGTCCTTCATGGCACTGCTGATAATGTAACAGATCCTGTTGCCTCTAAGATGCTCCACCAGGAGGCTTCCTCTTCTGATAAATCCTTAAAACTTTATGATGGTTTCTTGCATGATTTACTCTTTGAACCAGAAAAAGAAGAGATTATTAGCTATATAATCAAATGGTTGACTTCCAGACTTGAAGCAGAGGAACGATCTTGAAAAATGTTTCAAGTGGATTGTTTGGAAACTACACTGAAAGGTTTTTGCAAAATTTCAATGTGGCCCAGACAGCAAAGGGAAGTGATCTTTAGTATATATGTTTATAATTTCATATTCAATAAGTGATCTTTAGTATATATGTTTATAATTTCATATTTATTTAAGAAGCCAGCAATCAATGGCTTAATTTGTGATACTTGATTGTGATAATTTAGGACTTGTCGTAGGATGTTGATTTTTTTTTAAATGGGTATTTGTTCCTGGATAAACTCTGGTCGTTGTAATTAGCGAATTCGGCCAAGACAGAACTTCATTGTCTATGGCCAATTTATATATATAATGTATAGATTTTTAGATGGCTTTTTTCAAAACTTTCGTCCTCTTTATTGTTTTTTTTTTTTTTTTTTCGTGTGGAAGATGATTAAAGATGGGATTCTTTTCTGTTAATTTAATTTTTTATGTAAATTTTTAGCTAACTTTATAAACAATCTTGCCAGAATGCTTGCTTATATATGATTGAAAACTTGGGTATCACATATCAGAAATTTTGGGGTATATTCATGCATGCAACACAATTCTTATATATTTACATAACTAACACCTCATTTAACACTCAAAAACATTACATTAGATCAAAAAGTGTTATAACACTCAAAAACATTACATTAGATCAAAAAGTGTCACCATTATTAACCTTTTTAAAGTGAAGAACATTTTCATGTATTGATTTATGGCATCAAAGTGTTATGAGTATAAAAATCAAATTTTAGGTGTTAGATATACAAATACACATAACAATTGTGTGGGGTGTATGTAAATTTATCTTAAATTGAAGACTTGGGTGAAGCTCTTCAGTGTGAAACGACAGTACTCGAGAACTTTTGAAGCGTAAAAGGTCTGAATATTGAATCATGTGCGAGAAGTCGAGCATTATAATATAGTTCTGGCTTTGTTATTAGCTGCTGCTTTTATAATCTTGAATGATTATTTATAATAGACTGCAATATGATGGTGGTCGGATCTGAAATTTTGTCCTCAGCTGAGCTAAAAAAATAAAGCAATGGCGGTGCCTTGTATTTTGTATTTTTGAAAATTTCCTCTCGATCATATTCTCCATGGAAACACTGAGTTAGGAAAATTTGCTTCTATATGCCTCTTAATAGTGGAGATATAAAATATGTGTAGGTTTATTGATTTCTTCAGAAAATCAATATGAGAGTTTGTTCTGGTTTCAAACGCTCCCATCTTCAGAGCATTTATTTAGAGTTTGTAATAGTTAAACAAGATTCAAATAAATTTCAAATTATATCCTAGCAAGATTGGGTCCATTTTCGAGTTTGTTTGAATATAAATTATATATGGTTCAAAATTAGTTTAAATAAAGATAGAGTGAGGCTTAAATATGGTTAAAAAAATTGAATTGTGAATCCCCTTTAAATAAAATAAACTTGAACTCTTAAATCAAGGAGGTGACTTCTGACGTAGCTGTTCAAATTTCTCCAAATACTCTTAAGGATGCTTATACAACAGTATTCTTTGGGTGGGTGAACTGAGAATTTACATCAATGTGATAACTGACGCAGCTGTTGAAATTTCTCCAAATACTCATGCTTATACAACAGTATTCTTCGGGTGGGTGAACTGAGAATTTACATCAATGTGATAAATTTGTGAGGCCATTAGGCCAAAGCAAAGAATTCATTGAGTTGGGAAGTTACAATGGTGTTACAACAATCTGAATATGGAACAAAGTGCTATAAAGCAACAAAATGTTATATCATAGGAGTCACCTCATGAATTTTTAGGGGTCATATCTAGTATTCTATGAACTTACTGGATGATTTTGGGCTAACAATATGATGAAGATGTTGGTTAATTAAGTTGGGAAGATTGTAAAGCCTCTTAATCTGAACTCATAAATATCGAGTTATCTTTTGGTGTAACAATTAAACTTTCATTAAGAAAAAAACTCCAAAGTTATGCAAGCTCATGTGGGAGCACTCTTGGAATGGGTGACCTATGACGTGACACCAATGAGAAAAAAACATGAGGCTATGATGCCAAAGTGGACAATTTCTCGATGGATGAGAGTTCGGGCTATTACAAATGGTATTAGAGCATTACACTAGCTTGAAGAAGGGAACTAAGTGTCATACAAAATAAAGTGTTACATCATGGGAGTAATCTCTTAAACCTTAGATGAGATAAAGTTCTACACGGTGGGAAGAACCTCTTGAATTTGCAGGGGTAGCTCTAGAATCCTATTTGCTTGGTGGACGAGTTTGGGTTAAGAGAACTAAAGAGAATGTTAGATGCTTAAGTTGGGGGGATTTTGAAACCCTTGAAGTAGAATAAAGCTAAATTCTTAAACATCGAGACACATTCTGGTATAATGATTAAAATTCATTTGAAACTCCATATTTAAGCATGCTAGTGCGGGGGCATTTTTGGGATGTGTGAAATTTTGGGAAGTTACACCAATGAGATAAAATTGTAAGGTCAAAAGGCCAAAGCAAACAATATCTAGATGGGTGAGAGTTCGCACTATTATAAATGGTATTTGAATGTTGCACATATTTGAAGATGGGAATTAAATATTATACAAAATAAAATGTTACACCATGGGTCACCTCTCGAACTCTAGATGGGACAAAGTGATATATAGGGAGATTTTTCTCTTAAATATGTACGAGCCACCTCTAGAGTTTTATAAGCTTAGTTGATGATTGTGGGTTAAGAATATTGACGAGGAAGCCACTTACTTAAGTTAAATAGATTGTGAAGACATTTAAATAATATGAACCCAAACACTTAAACAATGAAGTGCCTTTCAATGTAATAATTAGAATCTCATTAAAACTCCAAAGTTAAGTGTGTCCTTAGAAGATTATTCTCATGATGGGTGACCTCTTATGAAGTTACACCAAAAAGACAAAATTGTGGGTACATTGAGCCAAATCTAACAATATCTTGATGGGTGAGAGTTTGGGTTGTTACACAAACATGGGGAAACCATGGTAAAATAAGGTTAGAGAAAAGTTCAAACAATATTCTTGCACTGCAACAAAAATGCAATTGAAGAAATAGAGTAAATATGTATATCGTGAAAAAAGTATAATTTATAAGATGTAACAAGCAGCCATGTAATAGGTTGAAGTCTCACCCATCGAGATACTTTTTCCTTTGGCCTAACGGCCTAATTATTTTGTCCCATCAGTGTAACTTTCCAAGAGATCACCCATTCCAGGATTTATCTCACATTAACATGCTTAAATTTGGATTTCTATCGAAACTCGAACCATTACTCTAAAATGTACCTCCATGTTTAAGAGTTCAACTTCATCTACTTAGGGATTTCATAATCTTACCCATTTAAGTGTCTGCTATTATTGTTAGTTTTCTTAACCCATAATCATTCACTAGATAGATAGAATTCTAGAGGCAACTCCTACATATTCAAGAGATGGCTCCCACCTTGTATTAATTTGTCCCATCTAGGGTTCAAGAGATACCTCCCATGGTGTAAAACTTTATTCTGTATGATACTTAATTGCCATCTTCAGTTTGGTGTAATGCTCTTATATACTTTGCAAAAACTCAGACTCTACCCATCGAGATCATATCTATTTCGACCTAATGGCCTCATGATTTTGTCATATTAGTATCACTTCCCAAGAGGTCACTCATCCCATTAGTGCTCCCTCATGCACACACTTAACTTTGAAGTTTCTATCAAAATTACAACTATTACACTAAAAGTGAGCCCCAATATTTTAGATCTTAGCTTCATTCTATTTAAGGATTTTCACAATTCATAACACCATATAGTATTTTTCTAAGAATAATTCAAAATTAATGTATTTACGTTTCTTCAAAATATAAAATTATAATTTAATAAATCAAATTTATAGTCATATTAGAACTATATTTCTTAAAATAATATCATAATTTACATATAAGTAAGCGAACGTATAACCTCATCAAGATCATAAAAAAATTGAATCATTCATATCAAGTAAAAATATGAAAATGAAGTAATATGCTTTGAATGGTAATTAGAAAAGGTCTACTTTTACATTAATTTCAATAGCATATTGAGAAATATTATTCCATTTTCTCAAATGGTTAACGTAATGAGATCTTTAACTTTATATTGTCGGATAACTGTTTTTTGTTACACCACCGACTTTAGATATAACCCAAGTAGTGTAATGCTTATCTGAGTGCATAACTAGAGGTAAAATATCCATACAAAATATAACAATTCTAATTACTCAAATTCCGAAAAAAGATAATAAAGGTAAAATATTATAATTCACCCATGTTTTAAGCATATTCTAATAATTATTGACAAAATATTTTAAAAATTCAAACCTTATTCAAAATATTGTTAACCTCTCTTAAATATTTTTTCACCTATGACTGAATCTTATTTGAATTATATTTAAGTCTCATTCTAACTTTTATCAAATCATATTTGAATTAATATCAAATTTTATTTGAACTTTATTCAAGGAATATTTGAAGTTACATTTTTTCTTTAAAAACATTCATTGAAACTTCTTTAAGAATATATGAATAGGGTTTGAATAAAATTTGAACAATATTCAAATAAGATTTGACAAGTGTTTGAAACATATATGTGTTGTTTAATGACAGTCTATGTTTAGGATTTAGAGTGCGATCAATCTTTCTAAACCTAAATAATCAAATGTATAGTAACAACTTGAATAGTTAGCCAAAGATGGAGAAAATTTTTTCATTAAAACTTTTGTGTAGATTGATTACATGCAAATAATAATCACTAGAAACCAGGAAGATGCAAATAATAAAAAAAGACCCTTTAGTTTTTGCTCAAACATTTAATTATATGCTTAATTAAGCATTCATTGAAAGTTTATATTTATAAACAGGGGGGCATTTTATTTCAAAATGAAATTTACAGTATATTTTGTCAAACAAATCAATAGTGGCATTTTATTTAATTTTCTCTATTATAAGGCATGCAAAACCACTCATTTAATTAATCCACTTTTTAATATTTAGTATGAGGTTCAATTATAGATTTTCAAAGAGATTGAATTATATTAAAATTTTTTATTTTGATGAAACCATTTGCCCACAAATTCAAATGAGTTGTTATCAGCACTTCAGTGCATAATGTAAGTGTACTTGTTGAATGAGTGATATAAAAAGAGTATCATGCTCATGAGGATCAATTATTTTTCTTCATAAATTTTTTTTAACTTCTTTACATTTTTCATGATCTTATCCAATTATTCATTATAAAAATATTGATGCTAAGCAAAT